TTTAGAGATTTCGGCTCAAACTCGCTCTAATTTTAGCATTTTAATCCCCTCCACCACTCCCCCAAATAGCCGCGTTCTCTTTCTTTGAGTGAATCAAGATTACGATGCCCCCTCTAGTGTTATTTATAATCTCTATGGTCATGCACGGATGTCACGTGCCCACGAGTGTGATGAGTCATACGTACGCTGACCGCGCAGACATTAGCCTTTTTTATCTCGTTCTTTTCCGGTTCTTCGTCTTTTTCCGGTTTTCCGTGTTTTTCAAAAAACCGGTATTTTCCGGTATTCTTTGTTTGCAATGACGTAATTTGGGGATTTCAGTTGACTGGCAGGTATAACAAAAAACGGTGAATTTTAATGTATTGATCGAGTTTAGAGACAGTTTAAGACTCGAAAGATGAATAATTGTTCAGTTTTTCTAGCTACAACCATTTTGATAGGATAGTTGCGAGGAATGAACCAGGCGGGAATCGTAATCTAATAATAAATATCAATGCTCAACATAATGTCCGTATAATAATAGCCATAACAATGAAAAATTTTCATAAATTTAATTATTTACAGAACTAACGTTTCGTCTTGCACTTAAGACATTTTCAGAGTGAAGAATTATATAAAATTACAAAGTTATGTGTGCATGACTGAATTACAACTAATTACAGAGTATTGAATTACAAGTATAATCTTATAAGGAAGAAAGGGAGTGGAAGTACATAGGAGTATAGAAAGGGGATTAGAGTAGAAGAAGGCCGGAAGTTTTAAGTTTGTAAATGAGAAGGCTTTCGTGGATCATAAGTTCGTCAGAGGATGGTCAAATTTCGATACCCTATGTACTTCCGCTCCCTTTCTTCCTTAGATTATACTTGTAATTCAATACTCTGTAATTAGTTGTAATTTATTCATGCATATATAACTTTGTAATTTTATAAAGTCATTCTTTACTCTGAAGATGTCTTTTAGTGCAAGACGAAACGTTAGTTCTGTAAATAATTAAATTTATGAAAATTTCTCTTTGTTATATGGCTATTATTATACGGACATTAATTATGTTGGGCATTGATATTTATTATTAGATCACTCTGATATAGGAGAAAAATCGTCCACAAGTTGTTTGATTTCCCATCATTTGCATGAAAAGTCACGTGATTGCAAACAAAGAATACCGAAAAACCACCCCAGCCTGCGCCCTACCTAATATAACTATGCGGAAATATATATATTGGACCAAAGTATTTAATATGATTATGTGGACGGCTGACTTACTAGTTATCTGCTTCTGTACGGTGAAACAGAAATTCAAACCGCTACCTATATACGAATCTCGACGTTCAGGTATCTTGGATCCGTAATTCTTTCTTTGCCAACGTCTGCCAATTAAAAAAAGCTGCGTCAGGTATGTTGTATTACTATTAACTCACTTTTCTATCTAGTCAAAGATTTTATTAATTAAAAGTACAAATATACTTAAAAATATACTTCTGGCGGTGCTTAATAGCTGACATGTGCAAATTTTTGATTCCTTATAAGTTTTTGATTTATTGTCTATTATGATTAAACATTTCAAATGATGAAAATGATTTCAATACGTATGTTATATACTTTGTTTCTTTCGATCTAATGGAAAATTTGATCAACTATTGACCAGTGGTCACCTGAATTACTTAGAATTTGTACTCGTAAAAGTAGAAGTAAATAATAAAACAATTTGAGTAAGAGTTGTGGAGGCAAAACGTACTGAAGTAAAAAGTACAAAGTATCGTTAAAATACTTAGTAAAAAGTAAAAGTACTATTGTCTGTAGCGTGTAGGAGGAGGGGGACTTCTCCAATGGATTGACACAAAACAGCACACGCATTATATGCGTGCACCTAATACACAATATTTCACGGCATGATCTACTTTTCAAACCCCGCTGAAGACATAAGAAATCCATTAAATAAATAATGCTTAAATGTAGAGGTCCTGTTACCTATCCCAAAATGAAAATAAATCGGGAATAAATCGCGTAAAATTAAACAAAAGTTAGAAAGTAACGAAATACTTTGCCACAAAATGAAAATAACGAAGTAAAATGTTGCTCATTAAAACGACTTCGTTCCAAGCAGAAGTACTCCAGAAAAAGTTTACTCAATGTTACATGCTGGCTTCTCAAAAATATGAGTACAGTAACGAAGTACATTTACTTCCTTACTTGACACCACTGGCTATGACATATCAATTAATTTAAGTTCGTTAAATATTACCAATATGATTTACTTTGAAATTCGGCGTTATAGCCAATGCTGTCGAACTAAATTTACCAGAGAGAGGGGGGCCTCTCTTTACGAGCGTGAAGCTGTGAAATCGTAAAAAAATGCGTGACGTCATCGTATGACGCCATAGATGTTCACAACTCATGACTGAGATGACTCATAATTAGATCATAACCTATATTATAAAGTTTCATATACGTCACAATCACCTTATAAATAGGACCTTAATATATGGGGCATTGTGAAAACCCGTAATGCCGGAATTTCGCGGAATATGACAGAATTTCGCGGAATATGTCTCAATTTCGCGGAATATACCGCAACATCACGGAATTTTGCGGAATATCATTACATTTGGTAATTTTCCATGAAAGGTGAGTGCCCTTACAAGAACCGTGTAACGATAGATGTGGAAACGAGAGTTTTTTCGGGAAAACAGAAGTACTATACCATCCCAATCCCTGCTGTACACTAAGGCGTCATTCCTACTTCAACAATACAATGCTTGGTTTCTCTGACACTGCCCAGCTTATGTGCATCGTCAACATATTGTGCAGATGTTTCAATTCTTCCACTGAGAGCATTTATCTATAAATGATTAATCAACTTAAAGTTAATTAGCCGTTTACGCAAACTTATAGTTGATATATGAAAATTTGTTTTCTTATAAATAATTTTGAATGATGCCGAGTATCTATACTATAGCCAGGGGACAAATTTCCAACTCATCCTCGGGAAAAATTGAATTAATAACATTGCTCATAGAAAATGAGTTACGTCAAAGAAGACGTTGATGTTCAAGTTCCATCCATGAATTGTTTTAAAATTTGATTGTAGTTTATTCGTACTTAATTTCGCGAAAAACTTCCCAACAACATAAAAGTGTCCTTAAAAATTTAAACTACTACTTTTTAGACAAGTCAATAGCATTCTGCAGTTATTACTCATGAGATACAAACACATCTTCTGCGGAAGAAGCAGCCTTCTTCTAACAAGAACTTTATGATTCAAAGTTTTGACTACGATATTTAATTTCGCGCGTGCTTAAAATTCGCCAAATTATGTACGAAAATGGCACTTAATAATTGATATTTAAAGCACTTAACGTTTTCATAGTCAAAATATATAGTAACAAACAGCATTCCAACATCTACATTTTACCAACATCTGTTGATTTTTCTCTTTCTTGGGTGGCCACATGAAATGGCGTCAACATCCATAATTTTTGCATACCCTGAGCATATGGCCTTGAAAAATTAATCAGTCGATGTGCTGCCATGGCGCTACTGGTCCAAAAAGAACAACAATCAATTCGGAGTTTCGACTGCGCATCAAATGACATGGTCGGTAATTAGTCGTGATAAAAGCTTGTCATTTACACTGTCAGCTGGCTGATGTTTAGTATGAGCAAATTTTTAATCGTATACTAAGATAATGGTTTTGGCAAGTATAATAAATGCCAAGATTATTTAATATTTATTGAACTGCGGACAATTTCGGTTAATTTCGGCATACTCCGGGAAAATGTCGTGATATTCCGCGAAATTCCAGCATATTCCGCGAAATTCCGGTATATTCTGTGATATTCCGGCATTCTGGGTCTTCACAACACCCAAAGTTTTTGTGCGATTTTCGAAAATATGTCATTGTAAGCACAGTAAGAAATTTGGAAACTTCGCCGCAGAGGAAATTAGTTTTCCTCTTTTTGGAAGAAAATAACATTAAACCCAGCTGTTTATTATATATACGGGGTGTATAAAAAAAAACTGCACCGGATTTGAAATTGCTCTTAAATTCGCAAAACAGCTATTTAATTAGTATCCAGTTTTTGATGTTTATAGCTTCTTTGGGTACTTAATGGAAGTGAATTAATGTAGAAAAATCGAAAAAATTTCTCGAACTCAAATTTTGTAAACCAGGGGGGGGGGTGTCTTTTCCAACAAACTAAAAATGGCTTGCGCACGAAATTTAAAAGCTTTAATCATATTTTGTGGTGATAGATGGAAAATTTGTTGGACAAAATTTCAGACAATTTGCTTTAGTTTTCTACAATTTGCTTATCTATTCATTTTTCTCTAAAAAATTAGCCTTTCGCATGCTTAATTAATGCATTTACCTAATTTGCATATTGCTGACATATGCAAATTAGGCAAAGGCATTGATTAGCAAGAAAAAATGTAAGTTTGCGTGAATGGTTAAAGGGCGTAAACTGAAGCAAATTATATGAACTTTTGTACAGTAATTAAACACACAACAAACTTTCCACTTCTCAACTTAAAATATGATTAAAGCTTTTACATTTCGTGCGGAAGCCATTTTTAGTTTGTCGGAAAGAAAAATTTGAGTTCGACAATTTTTTTCCATTTTTCTACATTATAAGTACCCAAAGAAGCTATATACATAAAAAACTGGATACTAATAGCTGTTTTGCGAATTTAATAGCAAATTTAAAATCTGTGCAGTTTTTTTTTTAAACACCCTATATAGTAGAGAGTGAGATACTGAAAAATACACAGTGAGATATTTTCCATATCTTCACTAGTGAACATATCGATCACGACACTTTCAGTGTTTATACAATTTTTTGCTTGGCTTGAAGATATGACTTTTATGTTCTCGTGTTACTGCATCAATAGCCTGGAATTACTAGAAATATTAATAAATGTCACGGCGCTGATTGGCTAAAATAAACGGCACAAAGAAATTTTAAATTTATTAAATTTATCTAACTTTGCCTTGGTAACAAAATTAAGAAGAAACATCAAATTACTATATATATAAACAAGGCAGGATTTCCGCAACAGCTACAGCCAATTACTGCGGATCCTTCTTCACAATATTCGTTAAATTAGTTAAGTTTACTGAACAGTAAACGGAAAAGGACTAAATAATAAAATCAATCAATCAATTAACGAACTGTTCAATTGACGTGTTCAATGAACCAACCAAGAGATCAAGCAATCAGACACTTACTTATAAAAATATATTTTACCATTGGTAAAAGCAAAACCTTTCCATACAATGTAATAGCACGGATATGAACAAACCTTAAAAAACACAGTGACTGAAATTTACACACAATCCAGTTTCAAAATAACCTGAAAGATGCCCGTCCACAGCCGCGATCTGGAATTACCTGGTATGGAAAGGCCCTGGTTTTACCAAAATATAAATAATTAGTTACGCGAGGTTCAAAAACAACAAGAAGGGGGAACCAACAAACTTCGAACACAGTTACATTTGACACAGGTTGTCTTCCATGTACGTGGGTCGTCAGGGTCGAAAGTTAAGGAAAGAGCGGAGTAGTAGTATTCTTTCAGAATATTCTTGAAAGTGGTAAGAGAAGATTTGTTGTGGTTTTGGGTTATTTCTTTCGGCAGTGACTTCCATGTCCGTGTTGATCGTATTAAGTAAGATATGCTGTACGTCGATGTTCTGTATCGTTGCTCTTTGAAGGTAGTACCAACCGCATTACGCGACAATCTTGTTGATCTCTCAGATTTCTTTGATTTCGGTAGGAAAGTAACGTTCACATGGATAAGATTGTTTATTAGTTTGAAGAAAAAGACCATGTCTAAGTACTCATGCCAGTAAGTTAATGAAAACGTTTAAAATTAATGCTACATGATTGGAAAAGATGCAGCAACCTTCAATTTTTAAAACAAAGCAAGGATGTCCTGCATAACGAAGGGATTATAAATAGCATATCGTATTTCACTCCTAACTTGATTAATTGTTGGCAGACAGTTTTTCAAGTTCGCGCATATTTTGGAAGCGCAGTAGAACCGTGACACTGCCCCTTTAAGAAAACAAAAAACAGTGTACTCCAAGTTAAAAACCCTTTTGACAACAAGAGCAACCCTGACGTATAGGAAACCGCTTACAGTTGAATGCATGCTATCGCGCATTATAGTCGGTTCCAGCTGGTCCACGGATCTTCTTCATTTTCATTTCGTTGAAAATCAAATTAGCCCAGGAGAGCTTTTGGCTCTCTAAAATATTAATTTTGTGTATAAAAATCCAAAACAGAATTCGAATCAAATTAATATAGTTACTAAATTAACAACCGTTCTTTGATATAATAACAGGAAATCAATTTAATGAATAATGACTGAAACCACAGACAAACCAATATATTATTAAGCACATTCTAATTCTGCTAGTATATGGACCTTCTCTATTGTATTTCTCCATATAAACACTCACAAGCTAGTGGACTGGCCGGTTGCTCGTGATTTATTTGTTTTAAGCCGGTGCTTCCACTTCAGTCATCCCTCCAGAAAAATGTATGGCTTCGAAAGACCAATTGCAGTGTTTAAAGGGCAATCACATACATAAGCTTGCATTGGGAATGAAAATCAAGTCTTTTTCACAGTCAGCTTGTATTACATATTACGAACGATCGCTGGCTTTTGACCATAATTTTAATGTCACCTATAATCTTAACATTATTCAAATGAAATATCTGCTTCTATTAGTGTTGTCCTTCACAAATATCGCCTTTTTTATGTAGGTTACCTACAAATATTTCTATGTTTTACATTTTAATTACATCACCATAGTACGCAGAGTTTATACTTTGTGTTTTGCTCAAAGATCAGACCAGAGAAAATTTTACGGTAGCTATTTAGCAATTAGCCCACAAACACATTGGCGGTGGAGACAGGAAATTAAAATATCTTCCTTGCGTTTTAGGATCTTCCCGCACGAACCAGGGAAAAACGATGTCAAATATTGTTTTGTTAATCGTTATTGTCCTGACGTGTATTTCCACCGAAACCGCTGCCCAAGTGGTCTGTGCTAATCCTATAAAAATTAGCGAACTTCGAGTTTTGAAATCAAATAAATGTGTCAACATAGACGCAACAGATGGTCGTGGAAAGATTAATACAATTGAGTGTGACGGCTATCGTGATCAGCAAATTATTATGTGTAAAGATGGAACGATAAGGAATTTAAAAGCTCCTTATAATTGTTTTACACCAGGCAAAGGCGGAAACGGAAATTTGATGTCAACTTCTTGCGAGGTATACCCAGCCATACCCGATTATCAGAAGTGGAGATATGGAAGGTCAAAAATCTTCGTAGACATAGGAGGAATTGAACAAGAAGCAAGAGAAATAGTAAACGTGAAATCTGGAGCGTGCTTGGATGTTAATGGTCGTGGTGGAAATGGTGACATTTCTGCATATCGTTGCGAAAATCTGGATGATCAGTACTTCTACTTCCGCTCTCGGGGTAAGCTAATGGGACATGGAAGACTACAAGTTGAGAAATCTGGATATTGTCTGGATGTGGAAGGAGACCAAGGACGTGGCAATGTTTTAATAGACAACTGTGAAGACGCTGCTGATTAGCATTTCGATTTTCACGAAAATGGCGAATTAGTTAATAAAAAGTCCGGATTGTGCGTCAATATTGGAGGTTATAGTGGATATGGCGATATCCACATGTACGCGTGTGAAGATCTGCCTGATCAAATGTGGATACAACCGCACCAGTACTGCCATGGAAATTATTGTTCTTTCCGGAGTAAGAAGTCAGAACAGTGCCTAAATGTTGGTGGATATGAAGCAAAAAAAGGAAGCAATGTGGCGACCTACAAGTGTGAGGGGGCTCCTGATCAACGCTTCAGATGGGTGAATGGAAAGTGGGTCACACCTAGGGCAACATGGTCCGTGGTTGGCTGCAATCAAAACGGTGAAATTACTCACGCGATAAGCAACACGATCAGTTACAAGACAAAAATCACTGCGAGTATATCAATCTCAGTTAGTTCTACAATCCAATCTGGTGTCACATTTGGCGGCGCATCAACCAGCGCATCAGTCGCTACTACCGTGTCAGCGTCGCTCGCAAAAGAGTGGGAAAACAGCCAATCAGGAACCAGAGATATAACTTTCACTTGCAAGAACTATGACACCGGAAAGCCATTCAAACGGGGATGCATGTGGCAACTCCGACTCACTACCAGGGAAAAAACAAATAACGACCTTTTGACGTGGTCGCCTCAGATCGTGAAATGTACAAGCAATACTCGAGAACCAAAATGCCCTCCATTTACGAGATGCAAAGACGACGCATGCACAATGTGTGAAAACCTGCCAGGTGTCCGTAAGAAAAAAAGCGTCGACGAATCCTTGACATGGAAAAAAGTGCTGAAGATGGACTAGAAAAGAAACAACAAAGACACTGCAATACTTCATTTATTCGTTAACGTAACTTTTGGTTTTAGTCTAGAAATTGGGAACGCTTTGCACTAGTGTAACTAGAAATAAACGAACAAGCAGCTAATTTTAAGCAGCTTTCTTATATATTATATATATTTTCTTATATATTAATTATAAGCTCTGTGTATAAGGGGTGTGGGGGTGTAACACCCACCCCCGCCCCCAATTCATCGTAGATTCGGCAAATGTCTGCTAGACTCGGCAAATGTCTGCTAGAATCGGAAAATTGTTTTCAGACTTTATCGGAAAATTGTTTTCGTGGTGAGCGAAATTACCTGAGTGGCTGGCAATTAAAAATTAGGGGAAAACCTTTTCGTACTTTCGGAAAAATTATGATATGTCCAGAAAAATTTTAGTATTTCAGTAGAAAAAATATGATATGTGCGGAAACATTTTTGTAATTTCGAAAAAATAATGATATATTCAGAAAAATTTTAGTATTTTCGGAAAAATTATGGTATGTTCCAAAATATTTTTATATGTACGGGAAAAATTTTGCGACCCCCCCCCCCCCTCCGGTCGCCAACAATTTTGAGAAAAGAAATATTAATTAGGATCAATTAGCGATTGCAGTTGGTAAAATATGCCTTGACTATACTCGGCAAAATTAACTTACATCTCCCCCCCCCCTTTGAAAGAGGTCTGGCGACGCCCCGGGCTCTGTACATCACACAATGTCACAAAATGTAATAAAGAGATGGAAACGAGTAGAATACATTTTTTGCAATGCTTTTTGAGTGTTTTTCTTTTCATGTGCGCAAGTAAACAAAGATTCACATTGTATAACTACCAGGGGCCGTTGCTCAAAAAGCTGGTTAACTTTGTCCTTGATTAACTTGAAATTCACAGTAAATTTCCCAGCAGTTTGTTTACAGGCTTGGAAAATTTCTTCACAAAAACTTTGTCAGCATCAGAAGTTCTCTTTTCTGACGTTATGAGATTAACTGACATGGATTAATACACAAACTGTATACAGCTATTTCAATTAAGGTTGTCCACGAGCAAAGCGGAAAAGTCGAATACGAGCGCGAAAGGCTGCTGGGAACGGCTTTGAAAATTCATAAATTTGTTAGCGATTCCCAGCAGCCTTTCGCGCTCGTATTCGACTTTTCTGCTTTGCTCGTGGACAACCTTAATTAAAATAGCTGTATATAAAACAGCGGGTTAAATTTTAACCTACGAAATACAATATATAATTGAAATCTTCAGGTAAACAGTTTAGGGTAAAAAATTAGGTCGGAGCAGAGACTTTAATTTTATGCATGAATTCCAACCTTGTATACCGCGCAGTCAGCCATTAAGTGAATAATATATTAATAAACATTTATAATACTCTGTGAATTCATGATCAAGTGATTGAGATTTAAACCGAGCGGCAACCCGTCTGGACTTCGTCCCATTCTATGATGTCAGTGAACAGAGAGAACATACGTTTGAATAGGATTTTTTTCTTTTCGGGAGGATTGGATTTGATTTTCAAAACTGCAAGATTTCCCTGCAAACCTTTTCTTTAGAAGTGAGGGAAATGTTCGAATCTCTATATGACATTTGTATAGTTTTCGGTATTTTAGCTTTTTGAGATTGCACAGTTCGTTAATGCAAAGAAGACTATACACTAAATGTTCTGGTGATACTAATTCTCACAACAGCTGGGCAAATGTTCATTCAAACGATTGCTCCGTTTTGGATACTGCATTTTGTATATATTTTTTAAGTTTACACTTGTTCAATGAATATACTGTTCGACTGAATTTGTAGGCACTACACGCTTCGGATGCAATAAAAGTGAATACTACTTCAACGTCTTGGAAATTTCTGACTTGGTTGAAATTTATTAGTTCCAGTGAAGTGTTGCAAATAATTAACCTCCAAGTATATGTGATCTCTTCTCTATACGCGTTGTTGATGCGGTTTATATCGTAAAAGTGCTGGAGCGTATATATTATAATTATATATAGGCAACAAATGTCAATTTACATTTGTTCCACTACTGATACAGTAAATGTTTTTAGGGGCGGACCATTAGAAAAGTGATGGAAGGGGGAAGCAAAAATAAAAATCGAGCACGGGAAACAGAAAGCGAAAAAATTTCTTTTCAATAGAGCCTTTTCAATAGGGAAAATTATAAGTTGAAAGAAAAAAAAATTCGTCCAAGGAATTATATTTAAAAACATTTAAAAAACATATTCGTACAAATTGAAAAATTCCCCCCCCCCCATCATTTTCTAATGGTCACTCTCCCCTTATAAATGTTTTGAACATTCAGTCATGCAGTACGATTACGTAGGCCCCGATTACACTATGCCGGATTGCATCGAAGCGACGCGATTTCTGTACCGGATTGGCCTCTTGTTTACACTACACCACTGTAATCCGGTACGTGCCGCGGCGCGAAAATCACTTCGCTTTGGAGGTGATATGAAAAGTAATCCGGTACGTACTGTACCGGATAAAACCAAGTGTAATCAGGCAATCCGGTACGCTCCGGTACTATAAATAGGTTTCGGCAAGTATATTTTAACACTGTCGTTTTATTTACTCGCTTTTAAATATTTTATAGCTGTTGTTTTCTTCGCTTTACAATTATTTATTATTTCTAGCGAAGACAAATAAAGATAGCGGTAATAACATTGACTTCTTGCTTTCAAAAGGGCAAAATTTAATGAAATACTCGTCAATTTTCGATAAGAGCGAGACAAAGCAACGTCGTGTGGTCAAGCTTTTTAAACAAAGTTATGATTCACAAGTACTGTCGAGAAAACGTCCAAAATAGGCAAAACTTATTATTTGTTTCCGTGGCAACGATAAAAGATACGAGCTGGCAACAGAGCGAAGCGGCATAGTGTAAACACCCTTGATTTTGGCTTCGGTGTGAAAATTGATCCGGTATGAAAATCAATCCGGTATAGTGTAATCCCAGCCGTAGTTCATTGACGCTCGACCACCATTCAAACAAATTTTAGGTACTGTTTAAAAACGAGCAGGAGTTAAAGGCAGTTTTTCGCTTATTAACCCGCAACGTAGCGAAAGGTTCGTGCACCGCTGATGAGGACTCGGGCAAAACTAATTATGTTGTCACAAAAAGAATACGCTGCGTTTCCCAAAAAAAAACCCAAACTATTGAAATAACGTATTGTTAGAATTTGAATGCCCTAGTACTGACTTAAACACAAAGATGCTTAAAATATTGACAGGGTGCATGATATTGACTTATTAAGAAATTAAAATATTTTTGTAAAGCGCACGCTTTTCTGCTCTTGGGATTTTAAAGCAGCTTCTTAAACAGTTTCTTTATGCATACAATTTACTTATGGCAAGCTTTGATGCACTTGTGGGTTCAGCAGATTGCTGAGGCATTTAAATGCTAACAATACGTTATTTCAATAGTTTTGGAGTTCTTTGGAACACCCTGTAGAGAATTCTGTTTACCATTTGGATATTTGTATTGCAATGTGTAAGGAAAATTTGCATGTTGTTTTGGGGCCAGTTAAAGGCAGTTTTTTCACTTAATCCGCAACGTAGCGAAACGTAGCATATTTCTTTGTTTCGTGAGCACCACTGGGGGAGGACTCAGGCAGAACTAATTATGTTGACACAAAAGAAAACAGGCTTAAGAGTTTATTCAATTCAAAGCAGTTCGTGGCAAGAAGATATACGGGCGGAGGCCATGGCCTCGACCGGCATTTATATGAAGCCCAATTGAATTGCCGAAGAAGAAACGAAACTGTTGGAAAATGCCTCGCGAAAGTCAACCCGTACTTGGCGTTAATAAATGGTCAATGAAGATCTCTTCAGAGTGGCAGGGAACAAGATTAACTAAGAAAGCCTCCGACGAACAAGGCAATTCAGTTGATGGCAGTTCAAAAATTCAAGACTTGGACATCAACGTGTATAATAACATGCAGAAATACTCAATTTCTGGTTAGCGAAATTTGTTATGTAGGTGTGTAAAGAGGATGGAGAATGTTATTCCCCTCGAACGCTTTATAGTATTTGTTGTGGTATTAACGCCATTTAGCGGAGTGTAATTGTGTAAATGCGTATACGATTTTGGACAAGACGAATAACAGGTATAAAGACAGTAATAGACACTTCCCGAATTTGCTTGAGTGCACACAAAACAATAGCTTGGAATCGAGGCGGACAATGTATTCCATTGGAAAACTATACTTATTTCCAATGGATTACATTGTCCGCCTCGATTCCAAGCTATTGTTTCGTGTGCACTCAAGCAAATTCGGGAAGTGTCTATTGGCATGCATGCAGTACGTATTCTCAGTAATTCAGGTATTTAGTAAAAAATTGGGCCATAATCATTTGCTTTAATGTATTTGGTTTAGTTTTGCTACTTTCTGACGGGCCTTGAATGGTGAAATGAGACAAGCGAATTACGAAGGCATTGCCAATGAGTGCCAATGATTCCTGGCAGCTGGAATTACAGAGGACGAAGAAAGAATGTTGTGGGATTACAGGCTTTTGGATTTATTGAATCGCAGGGGTATGAAGGAAGTTGCTTAACCTCATCAGTATTATTTATATAAAACTTTACCTTTATTAGTATTCTTTATATAAAGAATACTAATGCATGAGGGTGGAATTTTATATAAAGAATACTATGATGAAGTAAAAATACATTCATCTCCTCTCTCCCCTGAGACTGAAATCAAACGACTAACAAAACTTACATAGTTGAGTGGAATTTTCAAGCTGTTAGCTAGCGTTGTACAGGGTGTCCAAAAAAAACCCGAAAACGATTGAAATCACTTATTGTTAAAATTTGAATGCCCTACCAAAAAGCTGCACGTAATGATGCGTAAAATATTGACAAGGTGCATGTATTAAAATTTAGTCAAGAACATCTTGTAAAGTGCGCGATTTTCTGCTCTTGGGAATTTTAAGGCGGTTTTCCACTAGGCGAAATTTTTCGACCGAATCGAAATTTC